GTGTATATATATATGTATATGTGTATATATGTATGTATATATACGTACGTATATATACATACATATATACATACATACATATATTTATGTGTATATATGTATGTATGTATGTATGTATGTGTATATATGTATATATGTATGTATGCCTGTATATGTATGTATGCGTGTATATCTATATATGTATGTATGCGTGTATATATATGTGTGTATGTATGCGTGTGTATATATGGGTGTATGTATGCGTGTGTATATATGGGTGTATGTATGCGTGTGTATATATATGGGTGTATATATGCGTGTGTATAATGGGTGTATGTATGCGTGTGTATATATGGGTGTATGTATGCGTGCGTATATATGGGTGTATGTATGCGTGCGTGTATATGGGTGTATGTATGCATGTGTGTATGTGTGTGTATATATATATATATATATACTGTACATGTATATATATATACATATACTTCCTTTATTCAGCTCTTAAGGGGAAACTCTTTTGTCTATGATTTTGCCATATGGTCGTTTTTAGTTTCCCCTTAGCGATACTACTTTCTCCTTAAGGTACTGTTTTTAACCCTCTTCATTGTAAATCCATGTTTGTTCTTCAAATTATATATAAGTCGTTTAAACAAAAAATTATGACAACAAGGCATGTAGACTGTAGAACACTTCATTTATTTTCAAAAGAAATTTTCGGCCAGTCCTCTGGCTTTCATCAGCTTTACTGAATGTACAAGTTGGCTGTTACAAGTTCTATACTGTACAATATAAACAATACAATAGAGGTGCAGACAGATTATAGGCCAATTATCTAATAGTTTATGCGGTAATATATAAAGAGAAATCCGACAGAGAACAAAGCAGTCAAGTATAGAGATAGTGGTGTTATAGATTAAACAATTCTTAATTAAGCGTACATAGTAGAACAATATGGTGGGAAGCGGACTTAACTACACAATAAGTAAATGATTATGTCTTAAAGAGTAAAAGATGGAATATATGAATAAAACAAAAATAAACCTATAGGCTTATAAATAGGCTATATAATGTACAGATAAAGACAATATATACATATAAATAATAAACAAATACAAATAAAAATAAAGTGGTGTTAATAAAGAAAGCACATAGCAGCTATTGCAAGTTCATGTTAACTACTAAGATTTCTAATTAGATTCAAATCCCACTCAATGTGAGTAAAATGAGTTCAACTAAAAGCTATAATTAAAATTAAAATATTAATCTAAAAAAATTAATGATTTCCTTTTCATAATTCCTATTGGTATATATATTTTCCTATTGGTATATATATTTTCCTATCTATTCTATTTTTATAAATATTTAATATTGTATATTTCTCTTTTTAAAATTTAACTGTAATTGAATTGTGAATTTGTCATGGTGTTTTTTAGATTAATATTTTAATTTTTGTGTGGCATTTGTATATTATTTCTATTGTAAATTCAGTCGTTTCAAACCTGTATTGGAATCCAAACTCTGGTTTTGTTAGAAAAATGTATTTATATTACTTGGGCCAAATTTCAAGAACATTGTATAACTCTAGCCCCTGTTGCTAGGTTAGGTATATTCAGCTATTCCATGAAACAAGGAAAGTCTCCTCTTTTGTTAATCCGATAATCAAGAAAAACATTTCTATCTTTGGTCTCTCGTTTGGGTAAACACTTAATTAAGATTACGAAGTGCAATATTTAAAATAAGAATGTATAATCTCTTTTTCATTTACATTTTTAATGTCCTTAATTTTAGTCAATTTTCGGATTTCATTGTTAATTGTTTTATGTTTCTGAGGTAGTAAAAATGTTTAAAATTTGTTTAAGGGCCCCAATGGAAGTAAGTATTATATATTGTAAAACTTTCTAGGTTACCCTAGGAATTATTGGCTCATCTTTTGTTCTTCATCATTTATCTGTTCTTTTTATCTGTTTTGTATTCAAGTAATTTGTGATTTTAATTCGTGAATAAAATTAAATGAAATGAAATCAAAATAGAGGGAGTCTTTAATTGGAGGAACAGCTAATGTTAAATGATAGGAATCAAAATGAGACCATTGAAAAATGGTCTTTAATTGGAAGTGGTCTTTAATTGGAAGGAGACCTCTATTAACATCATCATCGTATCGTCCAATCAACACCCATTGTATCATCATCTCCATTATCATCACCTCAATTATGACTATCATCATCCTCATCAGAAGCAGCATGATTATTATACTGTAATCATTCATTATGAGTGATGTTAGATTTTCCTCTTGTTAACTTACCTCTACCCTTGTACTGAGAATCCTTAAAATGGTCTCATTATCTCCTTTTTTTAGACTGTTGTGTAATACTTCAGCTAGATAAACAACACAATTATCTAAGCATTTCACTAAAATAAAAATAAAAATATATGTTTCGAGTGAGTATAGAATGAAAAGAAGTTGCAATTTCGAGTCTCAAAAAAATTAATACCATCAAAAGAAATAGGATTGATTAGCTATATCACACGCTGCTATAAAGAACGGGTAAATATATCATCCTATGCTTCAATTAATAAGGGTTTCAGGGCTCTAAATTAGTCCTTACCAAGTGAAAGCATCATATCTTTCATATCACCTGCTAAAACCTTCCGTAGCTCATGGTCAAGATTATCTCCTGATTTCTACAAAATAAACAACAAAAAAGTAAAATTATACTTAATAATAATACATAAATTAATCGCCAATTCTGGTTAGTTTTAAATTTTATATTGATTTTTGGGTTTAAAATTTTAAAATATGTGTACCTCAGTGTATTTCTGGAGAATGGTACTAATGTGATCAAAGCTTTTGTTTTCCAGTAAGTTGAGCATCGTTCCTTCCATGTTCCAGCGACTCTCCCCAGCATCAATCAAGGCATCCACATCACTCTTTACTTCATCTTCATCCACAGACCCTGTTTCTCTCCTTGCTCCCTTCAAATTGAGAAAAAAATATACAACTAGAAAATGAAATATATGTAAAATGTTATCATTCAATTTGAGTTAAATTTAATAACTGAGTTAGAAAATATTAATTTTGTATATCCTGTTTTACCTTAATTTACTGGTTCGTTTTATCCTTCTTGTTTTTTTGGTATGTTTTGTATTTGTACATGTATAATGAATAATAATGGGCCTGAGTTCCATATGAGCTTGATCTAGTGATCCAGGGGTAATAATGTAAGCGCATAGAGGTCTCTACAATATGCGCTATATAAGTCGACAATTATTATAATTATTATTGAATATAAAAAATTCTATCATTTGGTAAAGAATGACTAATTTTATAATTATAGAATTAGTTCACAAGAAATGTGCTTTGATGCCTGTGAGGGCATGACACAAGCTGGATTTTTTCTAATTATACTAATACCGTAAATCAATTAGAAGCTTGTTTATGAAGAAATATTATGACACCCATCTTCTCATTATTAGAAACCTCAGATTAGAATATAATTTGCATTTATTTTTTATTGTCAAAAAGCACATCTACATTAAAATATACTGGCAAACAAAATATATTTCAACAAATGAAATTCGCAATTACAACTCGAAAATGTATGAAATTTTTATTCTTATAAAAATATACTAGAAGAGATTTGTTGTTGAAAGTTACCTTAACTAAAGCCAACATCATCTTCCTTGAGTCTCCACTTAATGATGCTCTTATATCATCTTCTAACGACCTATCAAACTCAGTCTTGTAGGCATCTTTAATAAGGCTAATAGCCTGTCAGTATAAAACACATGATTAAATGCCAAGAATAAGTTGAAATTTGGAATTACTGTAGGTAAGACCATAGCAAATTAATTATATATATAAGCTCAACCATTTAATCAGGGGTGGCACCAGCTAAGAGGGAGTAAAACAAATTAAACAATTAATTGAATCAATTATTAGCAAAACAATGATTTATTTAATCAGTCCAATAAACTAAACAATTAATTTTTGTTAGGCAATACTAAACTTATTAAATAATGTATCTATATAACAAGCTCTTGAAAGTGGCTAAAATGCAAGTTCCAATAGTACCGCGTCTTTCATAAGATACGTTCAAGTTCTTTAATGTGAAATACCCGGGATGGTCACTTACATTGACAACAGAGACGCATGTGAGCAAAAATAGAGAAAAAATTGACACAATTTGCCTGTTTAGTGCTAAAAATCATCCAAATTACAAAAATGGGGTATATATATGAGGAAATTGAGAACATGTTTAGAGTATAATACTGATACCATGATTTACTACCAAGTTTTGGGCCAGCGAATGTCTTAGCTTTTGTACCCACTCACTCTATCACCAGGACTATCACATCACCTTGACCTGCACTTCGGGTATCCACCATTTATTGAAGGCCAAACCATAAATAAATTAAGCTTTCCTTGCTCTTAATAACTAATACTGAACACATTTGCTGCTAAGAATTAAGTGTAAAAATATATCTGAGCTTACCCTGTTATTTCTTGTACACAGGATTTCAACCATAATTACATACGATTTCGTCTATGTAATGTAAAATAATTTAAATTTAGAATTTTTTTCAGAAAAATATGGGCAGTTTTTACCTAAATGTTTTGAGGGATAATAACTTTCATTGGTGTACAAATGATAAATTTTTATCTCAAAATGACAACAATTTTAATTTTATTGTGTAGGGAACACAGAAAAATATGTTTTGTATTTTGTAGAAAAAAAAATTAATGAGCTCAAAAAGAAATAAAATAGAATTTTTTGTATTTTGTAGAAAAAAATTAAATGACCTCCAACAGAAAAAAAAAAGAAATTTAATAATTAAAGTGGGATCTCATGAGAAAAAGTTTTTTAGCTGCTTGCTTGTATATTATACAAAAGGAATAGAAATATATGCTCACCAATAATGCATGATTTAAACACAACGCATCATATGTCTGTCTTTGTTTCAGTAAAGCATCCAGAATGTGCTCATAAGTTTCACCTAACTTTAATCTCAACTCAGTTTCAAGGTCCTGTTAAAAATAAATAATTCCCAAAACGTAATGCAATGTTGATTTATAGTGCTTTATACAAAATCACAAAGTTCTCAATGTATAGACTAGCTTGTACAGTAACTTCCATCTCCCTAAGGGTCACTTCGTGTCTGAGCTACCAGTAAACTGGTTCCAGCTACTCTTGCCTATCCACAACCTTTACTTCAATTGATATTGAATGGTCAAAAGAAATAGTATTACTGGTTAATTTTAATAACACCGTGACAAATAATATGCAATTGTAGTCAAGTTCTAAGGACACTATAGATAATAGAAGCAGAAGGAGCCTTATTTCCAGATGGCCATTTTTGAAGGAAATAATTAAGCATTCTATGAGAATATTCATAATTAAACACATAATTCTACAACAACACCACTTCCTACCAGTATAAATTGAATCATAACAATTAACTTACAAGCTTATACTGTTCTTGAAATTTGGTTTTTGTCTGTTGCCGTTGTATGTAAGTTCTACGAGCCAGAGTTTCAATCAGGATTTTCTTTGTTTGTGCTTGACATAAAAAAGATTAAATTTTAATATGAAAAAGTTGCTTGATTTTCAATATGTTGTAAAGCCTGCAGTTTCAAATAATATCATTTACATGAACATAGTCAAGTAAAGTAAAATTTGTATCAGATTGGTTAAGAAGTGGGCAGTAGATTAATACTATTCCATTGAAAAAAATGTTACTTGGTGCAAACTCTAGGCCCACCATGGCGCTGATGACTGCAGGGGACTAGGACATCTACGACGAAAGAAGCCTGTTTCCCCCACCCCCCACAACCAACCCGTCAGTCCTGCCGAAAAATTTAAAAGAGGAAGAAAAAAATTGAGAAAATCTAAAGGGAAAAAAAGGAAGTGTACCCATGAGTTATGACCTAGCAGTGGGCGGAAGGAGAGCTTGATTACTTTACCACTCACAATCTTCTATTGATTGACGCCGAACACAATGCTATATCCTCGATACAGAGTTTTTCCCAACGATTTCGTAAATCAGGATGCAAAAAAAAGGCCAAAACACAGAGACCTAAGATGGAAGCTTAGTGGCGTAACGTCTATGCACATGGCCACCAACCCTTAGAGCCCCCTTCGGTGCCCCTCTCATAGGGTCCTCGCTCTATAACCCCCTGATATTAAAGGGCTTTGTTGATACATAACAGTATAATGTGTCTCTGACATCGAATGTAGGACATTTATCATATTAACCAAGTGGGGATGGGCTGCCCAGCCAGCCAGGACCACCTACATCTGTCAATTTTTTTTTTTTTATGGAGATAAAATATTCAAATTTTTTTTATTCTAATTTTTTTTTGCTTTGCGACTTTAAGTACAGAATAGACTATAGGTCCCTGATTAGGCCTTTGCCAGGGGAGGATTGTCTACAGGAGGGGAGCATAGCTCCCGTCGGGAAGAAGTCAATAATTTTGTCAAAGAGGAACACTGCTTTGAAAAATCATTTTTACCATCTGAGACTCCCATTTCCAAGCGGCAAAAGGGGCTTATTCTAAAACCGTCAGAAAATTTCTGGATCCGCCCCTCCACGGATCAGGGAGTAGATGATAAACAATACTGTAATTATGCTCTTGGATAAAGAAGGACTAGCCTATAGGCCTATACTTCTTGACGAAGCCGATAACAAAAGCACCAAAAGACAAATTAAATGTATATATTGCAAGATGATGGATGCTGTTGAAATTGAGAAAAATAAGCAAAGAAGAGCTGGACAAACTCTTTGATCGCTCATTAGGCCCATATTTAGTAGGCCTCTAGGCAGTGGCGGCTAATATAATTTATTGGGGTGGGGGCTAAGTATTTATGGGTGCAACTAATAGTGCGCAGCTTTATCTGAGGGCCGAAGGCTTGAGCCGGGGGTGGGTATGGGAGAATCTTTTGGCCCTTGGTGATGTGAAAACCGTAGCCTATCTTCCTTCGGGCCTTCATCCCTCGGGAAGATAGGTATCTCCACATCACCGAGGGGCAATAGATTTTATCATACCCCTCATGGATAATCAATATTTGCATACTATAATAATATTTATTTGAACTTGCACTTTTAAATTAGTGTCACACTTTGAAAAACAAAACACAAAACTTAAAGACAAATGATAACAAGATACATCAAAAAGAGCAACTCAAAAAAGCTTAAATTAATCTCTGCTTCCCTTCCCCTCCTTCCCTGATAATTCAAATGTTACCTCTCCACCAATTATTTAGGACAGCCACTTTTACCGAGACGGCTTGGACAGCTTGGCCTAATCAGCTCGGCCTAGCCTAATTGGGCCTGGGCTACCTTTAGCAAATTCTTTCAAATCTATCGAATGTTACATTAAACTAAAGCTAAATCATATTTACGTTTGATAAAAGCAACATTTATTGATTGAATGTACGTTGTTTTTGTACCAATGTTGAGGATTCCCAAAGGTGGGCGTGGCACTGAGCCGATTGGCGGGCCACGCTCATCTGGCTTCCATTTTGGACAGCCTATTTCGTTTTTCTAGCTAAACCCTTGCACTCCACTATATAAAACTGTACTAAGCTTTACCCCTATTTTCAAAAAACAATACAAAATACTAAAAAGTACCCTTCTTCCCTCTTCCTAAATATTGCAAACGTTTACCACTTCCCCTTTAAAACAATATACAACTTGAACATCAAAAATAACATCAAAACGGTAATGCAGAAAAGAAAATACAAAACTACTAAAATGAAAGTGATAAATGGAGGTGAATATATAGCTACAGCATGGAATTCAATATCTCACTGCAGAATTTCCAGCTCTTTTGATATCCTTTGCAAAACTTAGATATTAAACAAAGATATTTTCATATTTTCTCCTAAGTGGGTCATTCCGTGCCATCTCAGAAAAATATTGGGTGGGTACCACCTCAGATTTTTTTGAAACTCAGATATAATGTGCATCAAAATGTCTAACGAACAAACCCAAAATTTGACTTGCCAATTCCAAGTCGTTTAGAAGTTACGGCCATTCGAAATTTTAAGGTATACCCCTTTTTAGCTCTCAATTATGATATTTGTAAAGTTTCATTTTCAATTAGCCATATCTTCAAATAGAGTATAGATAACTAACTGAAAATTAATATCTAGACTAATTTTTGGCTGTAGAACAACAATATGACATGACTTTTGGTATACTGGACCTGTTACGAAAATATTCGTTCATAAAGACCCTAACTTATTTGGTTTTGTAATTTTTCTTCCATTTTTAGACCCCATTAAAATATCCAAATTAATTTATTACATGGGTCTTATACAACAAATTATTAATATATAGTTGGAAATGTTTCACCGCAAAAACATCCAGATTTATCACATTTTAGAGGGTAATTATAGGTCAAAAGGTCATGTGGGAGAAAAAAAACAAAAAAATGCCTCGTTTTCATGATGACCTTTGACCCTGTGGGTAAATACCCCCTTGTCGTTAAAACTTGCATCATGAATTAATTTACATATATCAGTTTAGTGTCTTTATCCCTTCATGTTTAAAAAGCAATTTGAAAATGGGTATATTTTTCAATTTGTGACAATATCTGTGTGCGTATTAATGTGACAACATTAATTTCTGAATAACGGTAATATTTTAAAAAATCTGCCTATAGAGCCTTGAAACTCATAATTCTAAAACAACCTTATGTGCTTATTTTAGGAATGCAGTTTGTTAAGGGATACAGTGTTTAATTAGTAAGATATTGTGTCCCAAAAATGGCCGAAGTGCAAGAATTGTCCAATAAAATTGTGTTACTATTGATTTCAAATGAGCATAATATTATCCGTGTACTGTCTAGAGAGCCATGAAACTTTTTCATTCTAGGACAACTTTTTGTGAAAATTTCACTTATGCAGTAAAGGGATGTATTGTTTAATTAGTAAGATATTTTGCCCCAAAAATGGCCCAAGTGCAAGAATTGCACAATAACATTGTGCGACTATAGATTTCAAATGAGCATAATATTATCTGTGAACGGTCTAGAGGCATGAAACCTTTCATTCTAAGACAACTTTTTGTGCTGATTGCA